ATCTAAACGCCCTCTTTCGATAAGCCATTCGTGGGTTGTGTAGAGTTTTCCATAGCCGAGCGACTGACTCGCCGTATCAATTCCTCTGTTTCAATATGTTCGCGCATCAAACTTGAGTAATGTAAAATGATCTACTAAAAGAAAATCGATTTAATTGCAATTAATTGCAATTATTTCGTCATTAATTGGGTTTCAATTAATTTTAATTGTATGTCATGTGACAAAAATTAATTGCAATTAATTTTGATTATTAATGCTGTTTGAACATGTGGGAAGATTTAAGACCAGTGATCATTACAATGTCACATGACAATAATTCGGCCAAGGTTAGGGTTAGTTTAGGATATAGTTTAGGCTAGGGCTCCTCATTTTCTGCAGCAGCAGACCCAAAATTCTGCATGCATTACAATTCGTTTTATGCGAAATTATGTGATCATTTTTTGATTTTATGTTGCAAATTATGTGAATTATGCAAAACTATGCACTCTAATTTTGCAAAAATTTCACCTGTTTTTTTCTTCCGTAACTCCAAGACTGACCTGCTCGTAATTTATGTTAAATCACTATCTACTTTTCCGAAATCCTCCGATACCAATATAACTTTTATGTTCATCAAGCATCTTATAAAAATTACAAATTATGCTTGTTTATGCGCTAAAATTCTGCCAACTCTGCTTCAAATTATGCAATAAATGTTGGGTTTATACGCAGATTATGCGATTGCACATATGAGCGGATTTGACGCATATAGATCTTTATGTGATAATTCAGTAATTAGATTTGATAATCAAAGATATTTTTCCCGAACTATTTCCTTATTTAGGGGATTTCTAAAGCCATGTACCCACGTGACTTTTGGCATTTAATTAAAATTAGGGTTAGGGTGAGTTTAATATTAGGGTTAAAGTTAGAGGTAGTATTTATATATAATAAAATTGCCCTCCCGACATTTTTATTAATACCCAAAGACAGGTTTAAACTACTGTTTTTGATTTACTTTGTCGGGCTAAACAAAATTTCACAATTTTGATTGGTCAATCGACACAAAAAAGTCATATGGGTACATGGCTTTAGACGACCCCCTTATTTAGTAAAGGTAAGTCACAACAAATACTGAAATATCACATTAATCACGTGCAATATAATTGATTGGTTAGTTAGATAAATTTATATTTAACGTATGCGATGTAGATCATTTACTGAATCATCACCTTAGATGAGTCAAATCCGCCCATATGGATTACGCCGATCCGCTGATATGTTACTACAGAATTACCAGAATTACCACTAAGTTACTGATATCATAGCGATAGCAATAGACAAATTACAAAATTAATGAGATGATATTTTCACGATTAAAATTAGCGTGGCTCTTAAGTCCGAAAATCTCGTTTCTTCGACCATTTCGTACCATCAATTCTGTTCAATCTGCTATCATACCAAACATAATATTCAAATATAAAAATGATAACTTAATATTGTTATTTAAGAATCCTTTAAGTCGCAATTACTCGATATCGAATTTAGAAAAAAATGATAAAAATGATGATAATTTAAATTCTAATAACATAAATGAAGACGATAAAGAAAAAATTAGGGCAGAGCCGAAAAAAGAACGAATTAAGATAATTCTAAACGAAAAGGATTTGACAGAATCTTTTGTTAAAGGATCAGGAAACGGAGGTCAGAAAATAAATAAAACATCGAATTGTGTTGATTTGAGACATGTTCCGACTGGAATTAGAGTTGTGGTAATTATATTGAAACTTGTTTTTTTCTCATTAATTTTTTTTTTTTTTTTTTTTACAAGCATGACTTTTTTGACCAAAGTGCCAGCAAACAAGATCATTGCAACAAAATCGTTCGATAGCAAGAAAGTTAATGATCGAAAAGTTGGATGATTATTTTAATGGAGATCAAAGTAAGTCGGCTATTAAAAGAGAGATTGCTAGGAAAAAGGAAGCAAAGAGGAGGAAAAGAGCCAAAGAAAAGTATGGAAGTAAGAAAGAAGCATCAATAGAATAATTATTTATAATGCTAAATTAATTTTATATTTAAAGATTAAATTTTGAAAAAAAAATAAATGTTCATAAGAGTCGGTGACCTTAATAATAACATATAATTATAAAAGTCTAATTTACTCTTATTGTTTTTCAAAGACAATATTTATTTAATGTGATTTCATAAAGTTATATTAAACTCTTGACACATTATATTATACTTGTCTATTTCAAAAAAAAAGATAACAATGATATTCTCTCTTTTGCTAAAGATATAAGATATAGATTTATCAGGTGATTAACTTTATGGGATTATACAGACATGTCAAACGAAAATCGACCTCTAACGCTAACTAAAATTTTGGTCAAATTTCAGGATATTGTGTAACAGAAAACGCGAAGAAATTCTAAATAGTTTTAACTATGTTAACAAGTTTCTGATTTCTGCTTAGGTATGAACTTTTAGGTGTAATACTCGTTTCTTTGTATCAAATATAGAATGTATCTAGATTGAAAGTCCGATTTTTTCGTTTGACATAAGTTATTTATAAATTTCACGTGATTCAAATTAATAATCATGATTTTACCAAAGATATACTGTATACCGATAACTCTTTTTTTTTTAACCCATTATACGCCATAGAGGCGTTCTTCAACACATTTCAACTTTAGTATATATTACATCTTTCAAATTCATAATTGGCAGCCTTCTTTCAATTGGAATATATCCAATAATCTCTTTATCAATATCCTTCTTCTCATCAATATCCTTCTTGTCAATATTCTTCTCGTCAGTATCCTTCTCATCAAGGACATCGATTTTGTATTCTCTTATTTTTTCTTTGGAAATTTCACTAGGACTTGATACACTCAAATCAGCTCCTGAAGCAATTTTTGGGAATGCCATTACTTCACGAATGGAGCTAGTATTGCATATTACAGACATAATCCTATCTAATCCTATTATTTATCATTGATAAGGTTATATCAATTTCTTTTGATACGAAATTATTTCGTTATATTATTCTTTATGACTTACCCAACGCAATCCCACCATGTGGTGGGCATCCATATCCAAGTGCATTAATTAAATGATCGAATTCTGATTTTTTGGCTCGACTCATCTGCGTAAAAAGAAAGTGATAAATTAATTATTAATTATACTTATTAATTATATTTAATTTTTTGTTTTATTAATTATATACATTTAATTATGCTTAAATACCTTTAGAATATCATCCAATATGATATTTTGTAACAAAGGCGAATGAATTCGAATTGAACCGCCACCAATTTCTACTCCATTTATAACCAAATCATAATGTTGTCCTCGGACCTAATATACATATAATACCAATGTTATTTTGATTCTCTACATAAATTCACCAAAAATACCTTTTACTATACCTTTTCTGGCTCAGTCAAAAGTAACTTCAAATCATCTAAAACAGGCGCAGTGAATGGATGATGTGTTGAAATTAACATATCATTATTTTCTTTGTCTCGTGTAAATAACGGAAATGAATCAATCCACAGGAAATTGTATTTAGATGATGGAATTTTTAAAAAACCTATGATTTAAATAATTTAAAAATGATAAACATTCAAGTTTTTACGACCTACAAACCATAAAGCAAATAAATTTGAAAAATACCCTTTTTTTCTAAAATCGCTGCTGCGTTTGAACGCAAACGCCCTAGAAATGTCCAATTTCCCTATATTATAATTAAAAAAATTAAATTATTAAAAATTCATTTTATACGTCAAATATTAATTTCTTTGACAAAACTTACATCTACGATCCTTTTTCTCCTATTAATAACCATCAAGTCTCCAACCTCCACTCCGAGCTCATCTGTTGCTGCTTTTTGCATATGAGAAGCGTGAGAAGCGTGATGTGTTATAGTAGATTTTAACAACCATGAACTAATATTGTCGGGTGTAATCCTAATAAAGTCTGGTTTCTAAAAAGCTTTACATTATAAGAAAATTTAAATTTTAAAGTTTAAGAATTACTAATGAACTTACAGAGTCTGTTATAATTCTTTCTGTTAGCCCATGATTCAAAGTTTTTAAAGATCTAATTTCGTCTCCTGTTAATATTCCTCCATTCTTAATTACTAAACCTTCAATAATATGTTCAGAAAGTTCAGGCAGGCCAGGTACAAATTTGGAGAGATCTTTAATCTATAACAAATTTGTATACTTTTAATAAATTGAATTTTATATTTTTAAAAAAAAAGATAAATAAAAATACCTCCATATCGTATCGTGTATCAGGTTTATTACATCCATACTACAATAATATAATAATAATTTCAATATATAAAAATATAAAAATTATATAAGTATAGTAACAAAATATATATGATTTAAAATACATTACTTTGTTCATGGCATTTTCGTAACTCATTCTAGGAAAAGGTAATTTATCATTTAAATCAATTCCAAGGACCTGTTTCCAAACTTGCATAATTAATCTTTCTGTCAGAGACGTTATATTAGTTATTGAAGAAAATGACATTTCGAGATCAATCTATTTTTATATTATTTTAAAAAGAATAAACATATAAATGTATCAAAATAAAAAACAATTAAATTTAGATTATAAAATCAAGAAAGTCAAATACTTGAGTGAATTCCGGTTGCCGATCGGATCTTAAATCTTCATCTCGAAAGCATTTCGCAATTTGAAAATATTTATCAATCCCTCCAACCATAAGTAATTGTTTATACTTTTAGTTACACATCAACGAATTGAAGAAAATAAAGTCAAAGAAAAGGAAACTGTTTTACATAAGTATTAATGACAACATTAAATATAAGTAATAAAAAACAATCTAATATCAAGTATTTTTAAAGACTCAACTTGTTGTGGACTCTGAGATAATGTATAGAATAAATTTTTTGTTCGAGTTGGTACAATAAATTCTCGCGCACCTTCGGATGTAGACTTAAACAATGATGGAGTTTCTATTTCCACAAATCCTAAATTTCTAAATATATTTAGGGATAATCCATTGTTAAAAAATTCATAATAAACATATTATTTACTACTTGCCTTCTCTTACGAGAAAATCTTTTATGGTCCATGATGCCAGAGATCGTTTACGAAGGTTACTTTGAAGAGAATCGCGCCGTAAATCTATGTATCGGTATCTCATCCTAGTCTCTTCATTTGGCTATGAGAAAAATATAAATGATAAACAATAATCTTTAATGTTATCAAAATATCATTTATTGATGAAAAAAATACTTGCAATATTTTTATCATTTGGTACAAAAGGCAACTTATTTGCGGGATTAAGACAATATACTTTATCCAATTCTACTTCAATTTCACCTGTCATTGAATTCTTTTAAATTTAAATAAAATTAGATTAATCAAAAATAAAAAAAATTGCTTCAGAAAATCATAAAATAAAGACCTACTTTGTTAATTGTTTCAACAGGTCTTTTCATCACAATACCTTCTATACATATGACACTTTCAGGTGACAAATTTGATAATTCATCTTTAAGCACGCGACTTTTTTCTGGATCGCTAGAAGATCGATAAACAAGTTGAATTGTTCCATAAGAATCTCGTAATGGAAGAAAATATAAATCCGCAGATATGGTACTATTATTCCATAGGAATAAAGAATGAAATTATGAGCAACCCAATATAACTTTGAAACCGAGATTTAAAAATTGATCACATTTCGAGAATTCAAAATGGATAATTGAATAATTTGGAACTGATTATAAAGAAATACCGTAATTTTTGGGCCCATCCACATAATACCACACGTTCACCAACATTATGTAATCGTAATTCACCACAATTATGAGTTCTTGCCGGAAATGAAGACATAGAAAATGATTTTGCTATAAAATTTACATCTTTACTTAATATATTCAAATCATTATTTGATAATACAACTCTAGAATAAGAAAATTTTCGATTTATCGTTGGGCGTATTAATGGGAGGGACGAAGGAATTACTATATGGCATGAATTTATTTTCAAATTTTCATGACATTTAATGGAATGATTTAATAATTTTAATTTATTAACAATTGGAGCTCGTTGTTTAATAAACATTTTTAAAATTAAGTACCAGAGAACCCTATTTCATCAAATCTTTCAAAATGACAAACTACATTGTACGTACAGTATAACGATAATGTATTTAACCGAAATTTTAATAGCTGAAATCATGTGATTGATTAAGATAAGATCTATTTGGAAGCACAAATGCATGAATACTTCTGTAAATGCACGCCTTGAATTAATATATACCAGTATACCGATACTTAGATTTTTATCTCAATGAACCTAAATCAATGGATCGGAAATCAGCTTTTAATTAGTGAAAAATAATTTAGCCAATCAAGTGAGTTTTTCATCGCAATGAAAAAAAAAAAGATCCAATGGATCTGATGTAAAATTTTAATTAGTCGGAATTCGAATAAACTAATCAAGAGAATTTTCATTTCGATGAATAAAATAT